GGGTCGAGAAGAGGTCCGAGGAGAATGTCTCAAAGGTATGGCCAGCCTCGTCTGTTTTCCAATAACTCCCTTGAGCATTATTATCCACCTTAGAACCCACAATACTCTGTTGCTCCACCTCAGTATGTTGGCCAGCCACTAAAATACCCCAGAAGGCGAGCATGAGCATCTCCACCAGCCTACACAAAATATTCAAGTGCCCTATAACCCGCATCCAAGCCAGGGGTATAGAAGGGAACAAAGGTTGAAAGATAATTTTAAGCCAATAGGAGAGTCCTATGCAAGCTTGTTTGAGAAGTTAAAGCATCATGACATGATTGCACCCATTCCTCCAAATCATGTGGACCCACGTGCAAGAAGCTTTGACTCTTCTAAAAGGTGTGAATACCATTCCAATGCCCAGGCATAACATTGAAAGCTGTCGGGATTTGAAAAGAGAAATAGAAAGGATGATCCAGGAAAACCTGATTGTGATCCAAGACAGTGACGCCAAGAATATCGTGCAGAATCCTTTACCTGCACATGATGATGCACACTTTGTGGGGATAATGCCCGGTGACGTGGAGTATGAGAATCTTCTCGGGAACTTGTCGACTGAAATTGGGGAAGGCCATGGTGATTTTGATGAGGAAATTTGTGGCTAAATGTCAAGCTTAGCAATTGAAAAGTCATTCTCTCCTCATTAGGAAGGAATCTTGGTAGCTTGTTTGATGTTTTTTCTACTATCTGGGTTATTTCAGGGTTGTCATCCAGATTTTATTTGTTTGAGTCAAACCCTTCTATCCCTCCATTCTGTTTGTGTGAGTCTTGTCTGTCTGTTCTGTTAACTCGGATTTTAGGTTGTTTGTCTTATTGTCAAACCCTTTCTTCCTTTACTCAATAAAACACAGTTTGTCCTTTTGTGTCACTCTGTTCTTATTTCTTTTCGCGCTAGTTCTAATAACATGACATGCATGCGAAAATTTTGGCCAGATCTTAGAAACTGATTTATTCTGGAGTTGGATAACTAAAAAACACTTTTGAGGATGAATAAAGAGTTGAAATACTTTGAAATTAAAGTCGAGTAAAATTCACCTTCAAATCATTGTGAAGATCAGGCTTCATGATATTTAATCAATTGAAGTTTGTTGGAAAGTTTGACATTAAGGGATGGAAAGTGTCTTGTGACCACGACACACCAAGAAGACAGACATGTTCGTCAATGCTGTAATCGCGAAAAGATAACATGATTAGCATTCTCGAGGCTGGGAGGTCCTTTTCTGCTATCCAAATACTCTATACCCTTTGTTACCCATTCTGAGCCTGTGTTATTTTCTTTGACCACCCTCTTTTGGAATCAAGATTAGATTCAAGAGTCAAAAAAAGAAGAAAAAATGAAAAAGAAAAAAACAAAGAAAAAAAGAAAAGTCCATGCCCCAAGAGTACAAACTGGGGCAGCTTTTAGAAAGTTCTAAGAAAAAAAGAGAATTGTAAAAGATCGGTGCCCTAAAAAATAGAAGTCGAGGCACCTTGAAAAAAAAAGAAAAAGATAAAAACAACAGAAAGAAAAATAAAAAAAATTAGTTAGGTCAGATGTTTGAACTACGTTCGACCTGATTCCCTACAAAATAAGGATGCGTAGGCAGCCTCACGGTTCGATCCAACTAAATAAGAATTTAGAAGAAAATAAAAAAATAGAAAAAAATAGAAAACTCCAAAAATCTCCAGCATCTGAAACTGTGGCAAAGATTTTATTTCATTTTTGAAAGAGTCTATTCCAAGAGTTGTAAGTCTATAACCCCTCACTTTGAGTTTATTTTGAGCCTTCATGACGTCCTTTCTTTCTAACCCTATCCAAAATCCTTCCAAATAAAGACCTCCCGATATGCCTTCAAGAATGCCAAAGACGCATGCAATGAGAAACAATTGTCACACGACGTAGAACATCGTCGAGTTGCTCACAAAAGGAGAGAAAGAAAAAGAAAAAATGAGAGAGTCTTATTAGTGAAAACCCTCACGGGCACTGTAAGGCGACGGTAAGGAAAGATAAATAAATGAGAGAGACTTGTTGGTGAAAACCCCTCGGGCACTACTTGTCGAAAGTGAGTCGTGAAGCTGATGCGAAGAATTGGCATAAACAAGCCCGACTTCAAAGGTCATAAGAATGGTAAAAGGGAAGATTGGATTAGTTTGATGGATCAGGCCGTTGAGTCCAAAATGCATGTCATGATCATTAAGGCTAGTTATATAAAAAAAATAAAAATAAAAAACTCTTCCATCTGTCTTTCGACAGGGGGCATTTTTTGTTAATACTTGTTTCTTTGCATCATTTGTGTCCTTCACTTTGAGTCAGTCCTTGACAAAACAAGCAAGAAAAGATTTCAAAATCTGCTACCAGCTTTTCAGTTGCATAAAGTAAAATTGGCCTGCACTCAGTTGTTATTGTCAATATACCTTGAAGATTCATACAAAGGCTTCCCCAAAAAGACTCTTCTCAGCCTAATCGGTGCAAGAAAGATAACTGGTGATTCTCTTTGATAGAAAAATTTCTCAAAAAGCAGAAAGCCATTCAAGATATCGGAAAAAGTCACCTAAGCAAAGATCTCCAGTTGGGATAAGACAGATCGAGCCGCAAATACAAATGGTACTGGGTGTGAAGCAATTAGGGTTGATGCAGAGCAAAAGTCTCCTAAAGCTGACTCAAGCTGATTGAGCAGAAGCCAAGCTGCCCAAAGACTCAAGGCCACAAACCGACCACCATTTTCAAAATTGACATATTTTTCTTTGTATGAAACAGGAACAAAGCGGTGCAAGGAAAGTGATTCAAAAGGAGAAAAAATGAAAAAAATAAAAAAAATAAAAAAAGAGAAGAAAAAGAAAAGACGAGAAGAGCCGACAAAGGGAAGTTTCTCAAATCTTTGTCTTTATTTGTCTTGCTATTGTGCATAAAATCTTGC